AACACAGAGACAGATGCCTGATGCTCAAAGCCCTCGGGGAAACCACGGTCTCCCAGCTGCAAGGGGATGCATCTCAGGCTACCCACATTCTCCATCAAATCCCCACATAATAATACAGGGCAGCCTGAGTTTCCTTCCTTTCTCATCTTGAAGAGAGTTAAAAACAGCGGCAGACATGTGGGGTCTGTGGCAGGGAGATGGGGGTGCACGGGGGACATCGAGCTCACAAACACAGGACCTGGAAACTCTAATTACACGCCCAGATCCTCCTTCACTGGCCTCATTAGCAGCCATCAGCAGGGCAAGGACGGCAGAGGAGTAATTTCCATCCAGTTCGTTTCATCGTAAGTGAGTGACAGCTGTGAAATTCCATCATCGGTGTGAAGGGCATATGTAAGCCTACCCTTTGTGACGTTCCACGAGACCAGCGCGTGCCGGCCACTGAGGCCTGGGGCAGCTCCAAGTTCTTTGTGTCACTAAGAAATGATGGGGCAACTTCAACACCAGCGTGCTTCAACGACCAGGGTGTATTATACACATGCTGCTGTGGGTTAACTTTCCCTAAAAATGTGATCCATTCCAAACCCTCGGTACCTGTGGGCCAAAATCCAGAGCCGGCTGTCTTCATGACATGAGGGAAACGTGGACTCAGACACGGGGAGGAGCCCCTGGACAACAAGGCAGAGACTGCAGACGCGTCCGCAGGCCCAGGACCGCCCGGGGCTGGCAGGAACCAGGACCCGGACTCTCCCGAGTTCCCTCCAGAAACAGCCAGCCTGTCAATGCCTTGCTCGCAGACTCTCGGCCTCTGGAGCCCTGAGAACACAGCTCTGGTTTCAAGCCACCCAGACTGTGGTCATTTGTCAAGGCAGCCCTAAGGACTTGGATACACACACGTTGTCTCACACACACACATGATTAAAAAGGTTATGTGCATGCCCCAAAATTTTACCCTTTGGATTATTAATACTTTCGTGGACTTACAGGTTCCCGACTGAGTTGCCTACTTTTGCATTGCGGAAAGTGTTAGTCGCTTAAATCGTGTCCAGCTCTTGTGATCCCATGGACTGTAGCCCGCCAGGCTCCACTGTCCATGGGATTTTCCAAGCAAGAATACTGGAGTGGATTGCCATTTCCTATTCCATGGAGATCATCCTGACCCGGGATCGAACCTGGGTCTCCTTTATTGCAAGCAGATACTTTACTGTCTGAGCCACCAGGTAAGCCCTGTGCATTGCTGATTCACTAATTATAAAAACACACATAATATTTAAATTCATTCCCTCACTTCAAACTGTATCTTTAAAATAATCTAAAGTGGATGTGTCAGCTATCTTTGCCACAAGAATAAAGTATCAACCAAAATGAATCACACAATAAACACACGACAGATGTCATTCTCTGAAAGTGGATGAAACCTGCACTCGGGAGAAGGTTGGGGATGTGAAAACAGAAGGCCCTGACCACCTTCTCCTTCTCAGCCATCTAAAGATCCCCACTGCCAAGGGTCAGAGTAACACTAAGGGATCGTTGTTGTCGCTCAGTCGTGTCCAACCCTTTGCGACTCCATGGACTGCAGCACACCAGCATTCCCTGTCCATCACCATCTCCCGGAGTTTGTTCAAACTCATGTCCATTGAGTCAGTGATGCCATCCAATCATCTCATCCTCTGTTGCCCCCTTCTTCCTCCTGCCCTCAATCTTTCCCAGCATCAGGGTCTTTTCTGATGAGTCTTTGCGTCAGGTGACCAAAGTATTGGAGCTTCAGCTTAAGCATCAGTCCCTTCCGATGAATATTCAGGGTTGAATACACTAAAGAATTTTTACATACTAATTAAAGCAAAAGGACAGCCCTGTGCAGACAGGAGAAGCGCAGGGAAGCCCCAGTGAGCTGTGTGCACAGACAGAGCCCACAGCAACACGCCTCCCACGGAAAGCTGCTCCCCCACGTGGGGATGGCAGTGCTTCAGTCCAGTCGCCGCGTAAGAGGCAAGGGGGACAGATCGGTAAGCTTCCCTGGTGACTCCACGGTGAAGAATCCTCCTGCAACGCAGGAGACCCAGGTTCGATCCTGGGTTGGGAAGATCCCCTGGAGAAGGGACAGGCTACCCACCCCAGTATTCTTGCCTGGAGAATCCCTTGGGCAGAGGGGCTGGAGGGCTGCCGTCCACGGGGTCCCAGAAGAGTCAGACACGACTGAGCGCCCAACCCTGTCACACTTTCGGTAGCAACGGCGAGGAAATGGGGGGGTCTCACGGCGCACCCAGAGTCCAGACCCCTCAGCCCGGCACCCACCACGCAGCACCAGCAGCTGAGCCCCAGCCTGGCCCTCTGCTGCAAAAGGAGCCGCAGGTGCAGCCGAGCTGTAGTGGTGTCACTGACTTCTGGCGCCCCCCTGGAGAGGATCCCGCTGCTCCCACCTTCTCCATGAACCTGGGTGGCGACGTGGTACCTGAAAGCTCCAGAACATTCTGTGTTAAGCCTCTCAAGGAACCAAGCATGGGTAACTGGTGGATGTTAAGGCGTCCAGCAAGGATTGAAAACACTTTGCAATTACAGGTTCCCGGACCAGGAGCAAGGACTCTTTATCTGCCAAGGCTTTTCTCATGCACTTCTTTTCAGAAACAGCAAATTCTAGGCCCCTCCTGCCACCACGCGGGACTTGCCCCAGCACATGGATGTCAGTTCGCTGGTCTGAGAAGAGATGCAAAGATGCACCCACCCTGCCCGGTCCCAGGGTGGTGGCCCCTCAGAAACAGGGGTTCATGGGGGGGAGGAGGGGGCTAAAGACTTCCAGGCACCAGGGGGCATCTGCTCACGGTTCTTCCAGGACACAGAGGCCCTGATGCATGTCCACGGCGGGCACCCCTCTAGGCTGCTGGCAACGCCAAGAATAATCCCTTGACCCGGAATCAAACGGGGAGAGGACAGGTGGCTAGGCGGCAGGGCCAGCCCCTGAAGGTGAGAGCAAAGCTCATGGACACTCTCTCCCCGGACCCAGGAGCCCCTGGCACCAGCCCTGCTGAGGGGTGAGACACCTCCACCCTGCAGATGGAAGAAAGGATGTCCCGAGAGTGAACTCGAGATGCCTCCCCCCTTACAACAGAGGTATTCTGAAAATCACAGGACACGATGAAATTCGCATGTTAAGAAGTACTGCCTGAAAAGTGGAGGAATTGGGGCTCCCAGGGGTCACGTTTAGGTCCCCCCCCTCCACTGGGGACAGTTTTACTTTAGACGCGCAAGCACGCAAGAGAAAGGCTTCCGAGTTCATCAAAATCTAAGGGTCCGCCACAAAGAAAGCACAGTGAAGCCCAAACGTGGTGGCAGACACTGAAACGGCAAAAGTCAGCATGACGACAGAACACACCACGGACAGGGGAGGGGAAGCCGGCCCCGGCGGGAGAGCTGGGGACCCCCACCAGCCACACCACACGCCACGTCGGGCAGGGGAGAGGCCAGCGTGCGGCCGTGAACCTGGGGCCCAGATGGCGTAACCTCCAGGGCCCCGACCCCCAAGCGAAACCCGGCGTATCCCAGGGCCCACAGGCAGACTGGCTTGAAGGCAGGGTCATCAACCTGCACAGCCTACCCCAAGGAATAAGTAGAAACCCAAGAAAAACAATCTCTTAAAAGACTCTTGGGTGTAATCCAGGTGACCACGGCTAAAACCCACACTCAGACGCAAAGGCACATGTACACCAGCGCACCCTGAGTACAGAGGCCAGGAGAGGAGGAAGGGGGCCGCCTTCATCGCCTCTCTAAAGCACGCAACTGTCTAGCACCTGTACCCATTTTTCCGTGTCCTGGTATGCTTTTCCTCCTTGACCCCCGATCCAAGCCTTCACCCCTAATCTCCCTGAAATCATCGTGTCGATATGGATAACACAAACGTGGCTTTTTCCCTCACGTGTCCACCGAGACTTCTGCAAAGTCAAGGCAGAGCCCCAAACAAAGGTGGCCAGAGAATTCTACCTTCCACACACTTCTGAACAGTTACGAGGTACCCAGCAACAAGAGTTAAATACTAGAACAGGTGTTACAGGGAACATGGGAAGCTACTGAGATCTACTGCTAAGAAGACATCTAAGGGACAAAACAGAGTGAAATGTTTAACTTAAAAAAAAAAAGAAAAAAGGATAAGATGAAAACAAAATAGGATGGATAACACAGAACGAGGAGGCAAGGGAGGGCTACAGTACAGAGTTGAGTCTCTCCTCGCTCTTCAAACAAGACAAGCGCTGCCATGAAGGAAATGTATAGTTACCTGCATCCATATCTGCAAAGAATGGAACAGCCAGTAAGAAAAAGAAGGAACCAGAAATTCAGTGTCTCAGAGTTGGATTTTTAAAAGGTTACACGGAGAGAAAATATAATTTAGAAAACGGTGTGTGTACACTCTAGCTGGATTTTGGGGACATGGAAGCTACCTGGTTTCCTAGCCTTACTACCATCATTTTATTTAAAGCGAAAAACAAAATGTGGATATGTTAAACTGAAGAAGTAAAAGCCTTATGGCAAAAGAAATAGCTTATTCTCATGCAAAAATGATTATTCAATGTTTAGAATATAATATAAAAGGGCAAAACATACTCAAATGTATGGTGGTGGTCATCTGAAATACTCGGGTCTACGACTATGGAACAGTCCATACAAGTTATATTATAAACTCAACATCCAAAATGAAGACATGTCCAAGCAGTAATATTTAAAGGCATGACACTGGACTCATATGTGAAGGGACAGAACCACCAGGTAAGAGGCATATTTAACAGTATTCATGGTTTCACTCTATTGCTCCCAATGCCAAGATGAAGTTAACGTAACTGGTTGGCTGACAATACTACCGAAAAGCAACATAGCTATGGATTCCTACGGCTTCGTATTTTATTCTTTTTCTTGACATGGGATATATGACAGTCATGATTTAGAACATGCTAACGAAAACCTTGGCCAACTAAACTCTGCTGAGCTGGAGACTGTCTGCCAAAAGAGCATACCTTCGGGAGACTCCTCCTGGACATACGTGCCGGTCAGATAGCGGTGCACCAGGGCCGACTTGCCGCTGGCCAAGTTCCCCACAATGCCCTGCAACACAGAAACGGACAGTCACTAAAGTGCAGCCAATGTGCCACGCTTTCAGCAGCCTGCAGACTCAGGGGGTTGGGACGCACCGCGATCCGAAACATCATCTCATTAAATTCCTCTCCGGGAGAAAAAGGGATTCCAGCACCCTCAATTAGTATTGCACATCTCCATCAGTCTCCACAGCCTCAAGAGTCAACACGGTTTTGGACACACGTTGGTTGTGGCATTTTTCTAGATCCCGTGAGCGCTGGTTACACAGGGAAGGTGCACAGTGAGTCAGCCCGCCAATGTGTATCGGGGACCCTCAAAACTCTCAACAAGGCACAAACGAGGTTAAAGAGGACAGAGTGGCAGCACTGGGCCATAAAGAGAGGAGGGGACATCCCGATACACCCCATCACGACCTCGGGGCAGGGTCAGGAGTCCGGGAGTAGTGTCCAGGAGGGACTGGAGGGGAGAAAGCCGCACCAAGGCAGGGCGGAGGTGGAGAGCTGGCCTGGTCTCTGGACACGGGGTCCCACACTGCAGGGCTGAGACGAGGCCACACCAGGGACCCGCGGTTATGGTGGCCGAGGCGTTCATCCTCAACGAAACGTGGCTCGAGAGAGATGTGAGGGACCACGTCCCAGCAGGTAGGAACGCACCATCTCCAGGGGGCAAGGCTGGCTTTATCGCACCTTCCACCAGAGGCAGCTCCCCCCATGAACACAGCTGACATACCTGGACACAGGGACCGCCCCTCAGGACTCCTTCCCCTCTCTCGGGAGCTCCCCCTCCCCTCTGGGGACTCCCCCCACCCTGGGGACTCCCCCATCATCTCGGGAGCTCACCCTCCCCTCTCGGGACTCCCCCTCCCCCTCGGGAGCTCCCCCTCCCACCTTCTGTGTGAAGACCCTCCTGCATGATAACCTCCTTCCTCCCCCACTAGAACTGCCCCCCCAAACCCACACTGAAGCATCGAATCAATTCCTGCTTAGAAAAAGCAGGACAAGGGCCCTGCCCTGCACACTGTCTCCTCCCAGGAAGAGTCTGCCTCTCTCTCCCGCCAGCCAGGCCTCTGGGGTACACCTGCTCCCTCCCTGCTCACCCTGACACCTCCCCCTCCCCCCCCCCCCCCCCCGCAAAGTTTTTGACCCTATAGCTTCAAAGACACTGCTCAAGGTCACCGACAACTTTGGTTTCTGAAACCCCACACCTTCCCCTTGCCCTGACGCAGCCCTTCACAGGAAGCTGTAGATGAGGTTCTCTTTCTGCAAACTTCTGCCTTGGGCTTCCTCTTGGAATTCCGTCTCAGCCACGTGGGCTCCTTCCCTAGATTCCCTGGATTCTAAAGCCCACCCGAGGGAGCCAAGGCCACATCCCACCTCCTCCTAAGAAGCTTTGGATTCCCACTGTCATGCCTCAGCCCTGCCCCCATTCAGGTAAACACACACACACACCCAAGGCTCTGCATGGACACACCTGACTATTCTCTCTCCAATTTGTTCAGCATCTTTTGTGACCACATCCTCACCCCGCCTCCCAAACCAGACACCTGGAAGTCGTCTCCGATTCCCAACCCGCCCGGAGGACAGTTTGTGAGCCATCTCCACCGCCCCACGGGGAAGGCAAGGCGGTGCAGTCTGTCCACTGAAGCCTCCATCCACTGGAGCTCGCAACAGCCTTTAGCTTGTCACCCTGCCTGGGAGCTCCCGCTCCTCACCCCGAGAATACCATAGACTCATTACAATCAATGCTGCAAAAATGCGACGCCCTCATTTCACAACTCTTGGGAAGCCTCCCACTCTGGCTGCAGGCTGGAGTTCAAGAATTTCATGAAAAGATAACAAAGTGTCCCCTCCGCATCCTTACAACCAATCTTGCTGGAGGCACCCTGGCCAGGCAGGAAACACACCCACGCTTCACCCACCTGGGCCCTCCTGCTCTTCTTCACCCAAGAGTTTAGGATGGTCTCCGTGCGTCTCTGCACACCCGGCACACTTCACCCTGCTGGTGTTCCTGGCTCTACCTCCCACCACATCAGGGGCCCCAAGACCAAGAACTGGGTCTTGGATACTTCTCTGTATCCCTACACTCAGTCGTTTCTGGTCCCAACAAAGTGCCGGGAAATATGGGATGCGTGGGTGAGTGGGTGGGTAGATGGGTGGATGGGGTGGGCAGGTGAGTGGTGAGTGGATAGATGAGTGGGCAGGAGGGAGGAAGGAGAAAGATATGTTGGCTGGTTGGATAAATGGATGATGGAGCCAATAACTAGGAGAACAAACAGATCCATAAAACAGAACACATATGACGTCATTAAAATTCGACCTAAAACCCTGAACCCATCCTGTCCTCACCAGTCAGGGTCCTTCCGTCCTCAGCTTCCCCTTCCCTGCTTCACGGTCAGCGTGCCAGTGACCAAACCCCATGCTCAGCCTCACCGACTCTGTACACCTAGACCTTCCCCATCAATCACTGCCCGAAACAAACTCTTAGGCATGCATCAGCAAGCAGTTCAGATGTCACCTCCTCTGAGAAGCCTTCTTAACGCCACAGCCTCAAACAGCGCCTCTTCCCAGAGCCCCCTTACCACCCTCCTCGCTTCACCACCTGGTCTTACCTCTCTTTGCCCAACGTCGTACACTGTGGGTCTGACTCTCTCCAGTGCCGACAAGTGACTGGCTCTCAAGTGTGTCTGGTTCTCTAGCTCCCAGCACGGCCCAAGGCAGACGCCTGCCGCCCCCACCCTGCCCCCACAACACTGGGCAGATAAATGAATGACTGACTTAACACCAATGAGTAGAAATGAGATGCTTTATCACTATGGCTCCAAGCTCCAGAGATGTGGACAGAACCTAAATAAAGCTGTTTCCTTCCTGATTGGACTCCTGTCTTCCCTCTGCCCTTGGGCCTCTCTAATCTGAGAATTTTCACCTATTAATTATTCTTTTGCTCAAGGGCACCTGCTGTTTGTCAGCTTCACGCTGAGAAAATCCTAAACAGTATGCCACAGAATTGAATTTTTAATTAAGATTAGGCTGCTTCTTTCCCGAGGAGGAAAGTGCTCGAAATCAAACAATACTCAGTCCGTGTTTTCTATGTGTGAAAACACTCTCTCCTTCTGACACGTCAACGATTTGCAAAGAATTAACTCACCCCTTGCAAGGATCAAATCACTCGATCCCCCAACACGGGGTGGGGAGGGAAGGTGTTTTATTTGAACGGAGTGGTCACCTCAGACACCTTATGTGTGCACACCATGGGCTTTATTTTAATTTGAAACACTGGCAGAAACTAACAGCCAGCTGTGAGGAAGAAATAAAACAGGGGATGAAAATGCTCTTTAAGCTGCAAAGCTGTGCTGGGATCTGTGAACGGCTCCTGGATACAAACCAGAGAAGATGGAATCGAGCCAGTCTGGGTCTTCAGGCTCGGGGAGAAGCAAGGTAACATGGGTAAAACCACCCTGAAATTTACAGAACCGTGTGTTCTGGTGGCGACACGTGACCACCGTGGGCCTGGGCATCCTCGGGGCAGAACTGTTAACTGTCACTCCGCACGAGGCATCTTTCTAAATTGATTTCTCTACTGCCCACACTCCACTGCTTACCTGCTAAACACGGAGTTGGCTGAAAAGAATTTGAGGCTTTTGGTTAAAAATCCCAGTTGGGAATTTAATGAAGACACACAAATAGGATGTGACAAGCTGCGGACTGATGCCCTCCTCTGCGAGGCCAGCGATCTCAGGAGTCCTTTCCTTCCTGCTTGGAGGTGAGCGGTCAGTACGTGCTGCCTATAGACGTCCACAGAGCCCCAAGGCTGGCTCTGCGGCAGGGAGCCTCAGCGCAACCGGCCATTCATCATCTCCCCACCATCCACCCCACCTCGGGAAGCAGACAGCCTGGTGCTGCCCCTCCGGAAAAGGAAGCCAACACTAGGGAATCCCCTGGCAGTTGGGTGGTTAGGACTCGGTACTTTCACCGCCGAGGGCCCAGGTTCAATCCCTGATCAGGGAGCTAGGGTCCTGCAAGCTGGACAATGGAGCCAGAAAGAAAGCAAGCAAACATTGACATTTTCCTCTCTGACAGGTTCCAGAAGATTTATGGTCAAACACGATATAAAGAGTCCATTTGGGGCTTGCTATTACGTCACAGACCTGCTGCATTTCTGAAATGGAGTCAGGGTTCTGAGGGGCGCTGACCTAAGGGGCCACCTGTCCTGGGTGCTGTCCCCAGCAGGACATAATCGCGGCCCTGTGAGCACACACAGAGGTTGCCCTTGAACAAAGGAGCGTTTCTTCAGATGCTGGGAATGCCTTAGCACAGAAGGGGTCTCCCGAGGAGGCTGGGCTGCCCACTGCTCCTCCCCGCAGCAGAAGGGCGCCAGCGGGGGTCCTGGCCCACTCCACACAGCTGGGGGTTGAGGGGTGGCCCAGGGATCACCTTCCCCAGAAGAACTCCAGAATCCTTTGCATTTACTTGTCCATGAGATGCAGTCCACCCCTCCTGTGGATTCCAGCCAGCTTTACGAGAGAGTTCTGTTTCAGGATCGTAAATCCACCTGTTAACACGGCCACCCCACCCTTCCAGGCATTGATTCCAGAACACTGCACGCTTCGGAAATACCAGCAGAGAACAGGTCTGGGTGGGAGGCACCCTCAGTTATCATGAGCTGGTGTGTGGCTCTGGCAGAACCATCAACACCTTCAGTTCCCCAAACTGGGTCTAAACCAGAGGGTCTGATCCTCAGATGACACCTCAATCCTCAGCTCCCCGACTCCACCAGCCGCACTTCAAAGGCTCCATAGCCACATGGGGCCCACGGCTTCCACCTCAAGCAGTGAAGAAAGAGAACCTTTCCACGCTGCAGAAAGTTCTGCCTGCAGCGCTGATCAGACACACAAACTCCCGGGTTCAAATCCAGCTCCACCTCGTACTAAAGTGACATTCGCTCAGTCATGTCTGACTCTTTGCGACCCCATGGACTACACAGTCCATGGAATTCTCCAGGCTAGAATACTGGAGTGGGTAGCCGTTCCCTTCTCCAGGAGATCTTCCCAACCCAGGGATCGAACCCACATCTCCTGTATTGCAGGCAGATTCTTACCAGCTGAGCTACCAGGGAAGCCCACCATGTACAAACTGGAGCTCTTTGGGCACCTTCTTTATTCAACTTTTTAATATTTATTTCTTTATTTTGGCTGCACTGGATCTTCATGGTGGTACACAGGCTTATTTACTCCGTGGAACACGGGGTCTTAGTTCCCGGATGAGGGATGAACCCATGTCCCCTGCACCGCAAGGCAGATTCTTAACCACTGGGCCACCAGGGCAGTCCTCTTGGGTGCATCTTAACGTCTGAGGCTCAGTCATCCACTCTGCGAAGCAGGGACAACTCTGGACCCACTCAGGACTAAAGGCGGTGGCTCCCCCAGGAAGGTGCCCCGCGCCCCACAGAGAGAGAGCACCTTCTTCATCTCAGCGCTGTTCCTCCTGTTTCACTCTGCCGGCAGAACCTCACCCCATTCGGCTGGCTCAGGAGGGCCCATCTGAAACTGGGAAACCTTCCTGGAAATCACCTGAGTAGCATCTCTGGCTGCTGGCCCGAGACTGCTGACATCATTTCCTGACCGGGGCCACGGGATCAGCCCTCTGCTGGGGATGTGTCTCAGAGCGCATGGGGCAGAGCGGTGCTGTCCCGCGGCTGGGCTTGTGGAACCCACACTTCTGCAGCGCCCTGGGACGGCGGGCCACGTGGTCTCCCCCAAGGAAGGCGTCACCGAGGAGGGTCAGACCTGGAAGGAGCTCACCTGCCGTCACCACGGTCAGAGTCTGTCCCATGAGATGTTTCAAACACAAACACACACACAAACACATATACATACACAGACACACACAAAAAAACACATATACATACATACACACCAAAAAAAACCACATACATACACACATACACACACACAAAAACACATACATACACACACAAACAAACACATATACACACACAAACACATATACACACATACACACACAAAACACATACATAAACACATACACACACATCCTCCAAATGCTACTTATCACACAGCAACGCGGTCATTTAATAGTTCTATTGGTCCTTGCTTCCACCTTAACATGACGGGTGCAAAGTGCAGAGGGGCTCAGAGGTATGACTGCAACAGACTCAAGTTATTTTTTATGTCAGTCTATTCCTAAGCTTTAAATCTCCAGGAGATAGTGGAGGACAGAGGGGCCTGGCGGGCTACAGTCCACAGGGTCGCGAAGAGTCGGATACGACTTAGCGACTACACAGCAGACAAAGGTTTGAGTAGCCTCACTGAATTATTAAAGTTCATAATGAGACCAAAGCTTTTAATTTCTCACTACTCCTTCGTTAACAGTACATAGTCACATTTTCTTACTAATGAATTATAATTATGACTTGATGGCTAGCACAGAGACTTCCCATGACGTCCTGCAAAGGACTAGTAAAGCTGTGGGTGGGTGGGTGTGTGAGAGACAAGCCGATGAGTGTCTCACACACACACACACAGACACACACACACACACACGAGACAGAATGGCAGGGGGGCACCCAGCCCTGCACACAGGCCATCTGCCCGGCCATCCATCATGACCATCACAGCCACCCTTGGGGCTCCAGCCCCAACCTCAGCCTCACCTGCAGCCCCTCCACTCCGCAGGACACACCAGACACACCCCTTGGCCCCAGGGGAGGAGACGGCCCCGGGATGAAGACTTGGGGTGCTCACAGGTCACACCGTGCCTCTTCCTGAGCCCATTCCGAGCCCCCCTCCTGCAGCTGGAGAAACAACCATGCTCAAGGCCAGAGTGACCACTCACCACTTTGAGCTCTGGGACAGATCGACTCAACGTCCATTCCTGGCTGTTCACGAAGGCATCTGTAAAACAGGAGGGTGAACACAAGTCAGACGCCGTGACTTAACAGGAGGGCAGGGTCAGTATGCCCCCAAGGTGCCACTTTTCAAACCGGAAGGACACGGAAGACAGTCCAGTCCCCAGCCTGGGATCACGTCCCCTGAGCTGCTGAGATCTGCCTGCCACACGTGGCTGTTCTGATGCCAATTCGTAATTGTCTGTAAACCTCATCACCCACCCTGACCCAAGACCACCAAGTCCTGCCCCAGCCCTTTAGGACCCACACTGTCCTGGGTGTTCAGACCCTCCTGACCCTAAGTGTGGGCCACTGGGAGGACAATAGAGGCTCTGGCCTTTCTGGAATGGACCCTGATGCCACCCAACTTTGGGTCTCTGGGTTTTCCCTAAAATAACAGTAACTTGTGTGAAATTCCACCAACAAAGTTACAGTAGCTCATGACTGGATTTTGAAAATCCAAGTGTTTACAGCATGTTATGGTTTAGAAGACCTATGTGCTGGACTTCTGATCCTCAATGACACAACAGACACTGAAGATCCAGTCAGGACACTTCGGGATGATGTGTGATGTGTCGGAAACACCAGGGGTGCCCAGCCGCTCTGGGGCCCTCTGCAGGGCCCGGCCCCCCAGTCAGCACTCTCGGGGCAGCCTCCCCCGACCGTCTTGGCCTCTCACCCCCACGTGCATGGGTGGAGGTGACCGCCCCACAGGGAGGACCCTGACGACCTGATTCCCCGTGTCCCCCGCCTTCCATTTCCCTTCATGGCACCCCACCCTGCCACCCCGTCTGTGTACTTAGGGCCGGACAGACGGAGCTGGTAATGAACATGGCAGCTACCCCGGAGACCACCGAGTGGGGGGCGAACATCTCTCCCTCCAAAGGGCCCTCGCTCTCTATGCCTTTTCTGAAAATTCCCCAATTCCCTCATGCTACACAATGACCAAGAAGTCAAATCACAAACGGCCTAAAAGTCAAGTAACGCCAGGGTCTCAAACAGGTGCCTGACTTTCTAACCCAACGGATGCAAGAACGGGGCGTTGACATACCCCGTTCAGCTCCACTGGGGGCACCGCAGAGAAGGAACAGAAAACCCTTGGAGAAGACAGACAGTGACGCGAAAAACTAGACGCCGCCAGCCCCGCCAAGACAGAGGCTGAGGTCTGCCGGCTCAGAGGTCTTCCTCACATCAGAGGAGGACTTCTGGGCAGAGAAGGATGGGATGGGAGGCGCCAGGAAGCTGGAAAGGGCCTCGAGGCTCAGCTGAGAGCTGGCAGGGACAGGTGGGAGAGCAGAGATGCTGGACTCTGGGGACTCGAATGCCCAGGCAACTGGCAGAGAGTGAGCAGGCCCCCTGGGAAGGAGCTCAGAAGGAAAGATGCTCATTCAGGAAAGGGAAGGGCAAGGGCCACTGCTCCCTCCACAGAAGTGAGCCAGCTGGGGGCCACACATTAATTTGGTACCTGCACACCCACTCTTTGGCCGGCGGGCACCACACTAACGTGTCCCAGACAAGCTGTCCCTGCAGACAAGTTAGCCGTGGGTGCTCTAGTACAAGGCCTGCCTGAGCCCTCGTGTGCACTCAGCAAACAGTAACCAACGTCACACCCTCCCAGCAGTGAACAGTGTGATCAAAGAGGTCACCACTCACTCACTCTCTGTCATCAGATGATGTCTCAGGAAAATAGGAATGCGGATTGTAGGATTGGGGGTGGGGTGACTCCACTGGTCCAAGGAAGTAGATGCCAGTTATTCCATCAACATGAAATACCTGTGCCAAGAATGTCCCCCAAAGCCGGGCTGTTGCCGTGCTTCTAACAACCCAGGGTTGGTTACATGCACGTGGATACATTCCTGTGCTCACTCAGTCATGTCCGACTCTCTGCGACCCTATGGACTATAACTGGCCAGGATCCTGTGTCCATGGGATTCTCCAGGCAAGAACATTGGGGTGGGTTGCCATTTCCTTCTCCGGGATACATTCCTATAAGGAAGGCTAAGTCGCCAACAAAGGCCTCAGTGTACCAAAGTGCAACCATCCCAAAGCCACAGTGATGTGTGTGTGTATGTGTAACACAACACAACCTTGTCCATGCTGAGAACACTTTCAGAAGCATAAAAACTTCATAGTTGCTGATCTAGGGTTAAGGAACCAGCTTGGGGACAAGGTAATGAGACTTTCTTGTCATTGCCACCTTTCAGTACCCCTCAAATTTTACACCATCTGGCATATAAAAAAAATTCAATAACACGGGTTTTAATATTCTTAATACAAAAACAAAGAAGGTAACATGGGAATTAAAATGAGCTTCACTCATGAATGCTCGGCGGATTTTTAAGCACATGTCACCAAAAGATTATGTTTATCACAACAAATATTACATATTCATAATAACTTAAGCAGGGCTCCATTAAATAAAGATGTGCAATTATATAAACACTGGAACAACGTGTGCGGTGCCTTCTTGCTTGCAGATAAATCTTTCCTTGAGCAGAATACATTTGCCTGTGAGAACTAGATTAATAAAATTAATGCTTAATTTAACTGACCAGAAAAACGCATCATCCATTTTGAAAGATGTACTTTGAAAACATTTATCGCCTCCATCATTGCCTGATCAGGACAGAAAGCTGTCTCCAAAGAGGTTAAACAAAAAACGACAAAGATGCAGCAAAAGCGGCGCACGCCAGAGACTTCTACGTGCTCCTCCTCTATGGATTGGGGCCTTCCCAGGGCTGCGCTCGCTAAGCGGGGATGACAGAGTTGACTGCACATCACGGGGTGAGCTGGGTGGGGGCCGTGGGGCCCAGACCAGCCGGTTGCCCTGTTTAATGTCATGATCTGGGCGTGGCTTGGAAAAATTTCCAGACAGGAGGCAGAATGAGAGAAGAATAAAATTTATTAGAGTGAGAGACGCTGTTGAACAGTGGGCCAGCTCAAGGGAGAACCAACGTTGAACAGGGCTCCTCAGTCCACTTTTATACCCAGGGTATAAGGAGTGGGACGGGGGGGGTCTTGCGGGTCATTTGCTGATTGGATGAGGCATGTATACTGGGTGGGGGGAAGAGTAAGGTAGATACCTTCTCCCTGTGGCTCAGCTGGTAAAGAATCCGCCTGCAATGCAGGAGACCTGGGTTCGATCCCTGGGTTGGGAAGACCCCCTGGAGAAGGGAAAGGCTACCCATTCCAGTATTGTGGCCTAGAAAATCCCATGGACTGTACAGTCCATGGGGTCGCAAAGAGTAGGACACGATTGAACGATCTTCACTACGGGGTAGGAGGGGAGGTGGGTTATGCTGCTCAGGAGGACCTGAAACCAGTGAATAGTTAACGACATGGGAGAGAAGGACGATAAGGGTCTGGTTTTTCCCTTCCTGCATTCCAAGACCCTCCTTGGTCTTATCTGCTCTTCAGTCCCTGAGTCACCACATTTAAGTTCCATGGTGCAGCATCCCTTGAAGGATAAACACACACGCTTCTGGGGCACATACCCTGGAAGCCTGTGTGTGTGCCTGCAAACATGCGTGCAACGTGCACGCGTGCTTGCAGGGCAGTTAGAATCCCAAGCCACAGAAGATGTGCCATTTCAGAAGGGGCCACTCTGAGCTTCACTCAACTGCCCCACTTAGAGTAGAATAATATTAAGAAAACGCATTCCCGCACGCTGATGGACGTGCAGCTAATGTTGTTCAGTCACTCAGCCGTGTCTCTTTGTGAGCCCATGGACCACAGCCTACCAGGCTCCTCCGTCCGTGGGATCTCCCAGGCAAGGATACTGGGGTGGGTTGCTATTTCCTTCTCCAGGCGATCTTCCGAACCCAAGGATCAAACCCATGTCTCCTGTACTTGCAGGCAGATTCTTTACCACTGACCACTTTGAAAGCCGCTGGACGGGAATTTAGAATCCAACAGGGCTGGTGATCACTGATTGACTGCACTTAACCTGTGACACCACGGCCTCTTTAGATGATGTCACGGGGGGCTGGCAGGGGCCCAGGCTGCAGTGGACCCTCGGTAACTGCCCAGCAGAGTTTAGGAAAGGAAGGTAGTTTGTCATTCCTTATCATTAACATGGCTCCACTTCAGATTCCTTGTTATCTTTTCAATTTAAATCGTTAACAGTGAAAAGAAACGCTCAAAGAACACCAAGATTAGGGAACTTAAAGTAACAGGGAACTTTTACCAGGAAGGAAAAGCCCAAACTATCAGTGTCTTCAGAACAGAAACCTGGAGGCAGTCAGAGAAAGAAAGCGGCCTCCCCGCAGGTGGTGGTCAAAGCGAGGCACAGCACACAGAGGTGGTTAGCGTGACTCAGCATGGGGTGGGGGAACGGCATGAACATTAAGCAGAAACGCTCAGCCCGGGTCTTCTAATATGCATGCATGCTCAGTAGCTCAGTCGTGCCTGACTCTTCGCAACCCATAGAGCCCACCAGGCTCCTCTGTCCATGGGGTTCTCTAGGCAAGAATACTGGAGTGGGTTGCCATTTCCTCCTCCAAAGGAATCTTCCTGACCCAGGGATCAAACCAGCATCTCCTGCAGCTCCTGCATAGGCAGGTGGGTTCTTTACCACTGAGAAATGACCAAAATATCTGAAGTCGAAGGAAAAGACACCAGCTCCCTGCTGTCACCCTGGTATGCCCACGGGTCACACGCACGGCATGTTATTATTTTAAGACTTGAGAAAGGCAGTCCCTGCATAGCTAAACAGGGACAGCGGTAGAATTCCTGACCAGCTTAACTCTGTATTAAGACAAAGTCCAGTGAAGGTCGGGCTGGGGAAGTGCACTGTGACCACACAATTCACACTGGCACTATGATGCCGAGCAAACAGGAAGCTGCCAAATCTGCACTTTCCAAGGAAAAGGTGCTTGGGGCTGGGACGATCAGTGCCGAACCCCAAGAAACGTGAAATTCTCACTGTCTGGGTCATCCACGTACAGAGTCCTCAGCAGTTTCCTTGTTTTTTTACATCCAACTTTCATTCATTTTAAGTCTTTTAAA